CACCCCGACCTTCCGCCCCGACTACCCCCGACCCTTCCCCGACTCCCTCGAAACCTTTTGTTTACCCTACCCACCACGCTACCACCCAGTGAATCATACTTCCTCATTTACCCCTTTATTTATTTATAATTCTTTTTTATTATTCATTTGCAATTCTTGTAAATTTGCAAATACTTAATTAATTATCTTTTTCAACATCTCCTTTTTGAAAATATTTTCATTTTCGAAACTTTCAAAAATACGTAAAATTAGTTATTCTTTCTCGACATTTCTTCCTCGAAATTCGAGAATTATTTTAATCAATTCTTTTTCAAAATTTTAATTCGAAAATACTTCAAAATTAATTAAATTCTTTTTCGAAATTCAAAAACATTTCTAATTCATTCTTTCTCAGAATTTCAGTAATTGGAAAACATTTTAAAATTAATCAAACTCTTTTTTTTTTTTTCGTAATTCGAAATACGTAGAATTAATTCATTCTTTTTCGACATTCCTTTGAAATTCGAAACTACTTTTAATTCATTATTTTTCAAAAAATTTAAAAATACGTTAGAATTAATCAAATTCTTTTTTGATATTTCTTTTTTTCAAAATTCAAAAAAAAAGAAACTTAATTCCTTTTCTCGTATATTTTAATTACCAAGAACAAATTCTCTTATAAAATTCTTGAACTTCGGGAATATTTTACTTATTCCTTTTGAAATTTCACGCTTTTCATACCCCAAAATTAATTTCGAATCAATTTAACCGGAATTTATTTTTTCAAAATTAATTATCTTTTTTCGACATTTTCAGCATTTGCAAGGAAGATGAGTGATAGCGAATTCCAACAATCAAACAACATCATACATATGAGTCCAGATAGTCTTGACCYSGAACCAAACGCAGAATTGCATCACGAGATACACCAAATAAGAACACACCAAGAGTTCATCATTGACAATGCTGAAGTAGTCCCATCATCATCAGCGAAGAACCAGAGTTGATATCCTATTGGCGCTCGGCGCCCAGACTACATGTGGCAGATCCTATCTAGCCTATACTACGAAGCAGAATGATGACATCAACAGCGTTCCCGAAGTACGAGCATATGGCGACCAATGTCGCCCGCTTCAGCACCAGGTATGTTTTGCGCTATCCTCACAACCTCGTTCCCCAACTCACAGATGCCACAACACCCAAGGACCACCCTGCGCTTCACCCAGCATACAGCAGCGCAGCTTGGCTATGGCTGCGTGCTCCTTCCCTGCTCGCCCGTGAGAGCGTAGGCGCCAGCCAGCAAAAAGCGCAGCAGCACCGCTTGCGCAGCATGCAGCCAGCACCCGAATACCGAATGAGGAGGCAGGCCCTTCCCTCTATTGAAGTGGCATGCCTGCGTCCAGTCCAGGAAGCTTCCAGTAGGCCCCGACAGCCTGAGGCCCGGTCACGCGGAAAACAGGCCTTGGGCCTGAAGTGGTTACATGTGGCCAACTGCTTTCGGCCTGTGTTTGGCCAGGTACCCGTATCCAGCCCAGGGCCTGCTTCANGAAAACAGGCCTTGGGCCTGAAGTGGTTACATGTGGCCAACTGCTTTCGGCCTGTGTTTGGCCAGGTACCCGTATCCAGCCCAGGGCCTGCTTCACATATATTCACACAGGCGGCCCAGGGCCTGGGTTCACTCAACCAACTGGCGCTGCGCAACTGCCTGAATTTCCCTAAGTTGCGTAGTGGCCAGAAAAGGGCCCTGAGGCCTCGTCGAGCCTGCCTTCACTTAGGGCGGCCGACGGGCTGTGATAGTGGGGCCTTATGGGGCTCTAGAGGCAGTGGCCTCGCATTCCCTCCTCCATAGCTTCAACAGTCCTCTGAGAAGCTCAATCCTGAGCAATCTGGCGCTTTCCTTTCAATACATCCTTGGGCAACGATTTGAGGAGCGGTCTGCATTAATTCCTCCCGAGTAAACCAGCGGTCCTCCTTCGGATCCGTGTGATGTCTGAAGTGGACACGAAACTGCAGCTTTGGCTTGGGAGGACGTCCCCTTCCTGGAGGCTTTTGAACGGGCATCTCCCTGTGGTCGACAATATCATCGATGTCGACTTCTCCGTCCATGGTTGGGGGCAGCATTGAGCGACGAGATGGAAACTGGTCGTTCTCTTTGAAAGGTGCCAGCTTGGAGGCGTGAAAGACAGGGTAAGTACGAAGATGACCAGGAATACGGACAACATATGATGGCCCATCCGGATCTGTTCCGGCGATGTCCAAGACTTCCCAAGGTCCAAAGTACTGAGGCATGAGTTTGCGGGATATCCCGTACTCCTGTCCCAGTTCTGAAGACTTAACCCAGACTCTGTCCCCAACCTGAAATGTAGAAGGCCGGCGGTGTGTATTTTCGGACTCTATCATCGCTGCTTGTGCCTTTTGCATCTGTTCTACCGCCTGCTGCATTTTCTGTTCATATCTGTAAGCAAACTCTAACGTACCCGGTGCAACAGTTGACTCATGCTCAGGTAGGAGGAAATCAAGGGGTAGTTTCGGCTTGAAAGTCAATTGTAAACTGTTCGGGCTCATCCCAGTGGCGCTGTGTACTGCGTTGTTATACAGACTGGCGACGAGAGCAAGCTTCTCATCCCAGTCCACCTGGTTGGGCTTGATATAGTGCCTCAACAGGTGTTGTACAGCGCGGTTCAGTTGTTCAGCCTGGCCATTAGCTTCTGGGTGATTCCCAGAAGTCATTTGCAACTGAGTGCCCTGCTCTATAGCAGCAGCCTTCCGCAACTCGCTTGTAAATCTCACATCCCTGTGACTAACAATGGACTTCGGTAGACCAAAGTCCCTGACCCAGTTCTCTTTAAACATTCTAATCACGTACTCCGTCTTTGCTGTTTCCGGCATAGCTACTAACCTAGCATACTTACTAAATCTATCCACGATGACGAAAATGTGACGCATTCCATTCTTGCTGGTGATCAGAGTATCCATGAAATCCATGGACAGACTCTCACCAGGCCGTTCGGGAATTGGAAGGGGCTTCAGAAGCCCAAGAGGAGCCTGAGTACGTGGTTTGTCGCGTTGACAAACTTGACAAGTCTCCACGTATAGTTGTGCATCTCGCATCATCGTGGGCCACCAGAATCGCTGCAGCAAGTTGGCTGCGGTCTTCTTGTACCCGAAATGACCGGTGGCATCACGACACTCACCTAAAAACAAACTACGCAAAGATTCACTATTGGGAACACACAATTGTTTATTCCCTGCCTTCTCAAGGAACAGCAAGCCATTAACCAACTCAAACTCGGCGGACGTCTTCTTGTCCTTCGCCTCAAGTCTGCGTAGGATCTCAGACATAAACTGGTCCTTGCAATAGGCTTCCACCAAAGATTGAGTAACATTGTCTGTAAGACTGAACTCAGTAATCAGCGCACCTGAGAAGTCTGGTCTGCGCGACAGGGCGTCAGCAACCTTGTTATACTCCCCTTTGAGATACTGAGGGTCAAAGTCATATTGCTCAATGACTTCGATCCAACGCTTGAGAGCGTCAGAGAGTACCGGCTGGGTTCTCATCCATTTCAGGGTCTGATGATCAGTCCTGAGAATGAAGAACCTCCCAAGGAGATAGTGTCTCCAATGGGTRAGAGCCTTGTACACCGCATAGAGTTCCTTCTCATAAGTGGACTTAGCCAACTTCTGAGACGGCATTTTCTTAGACATGTACTCAACTGGCCTCAACTTTGGYCCCTCCTGCTGCGCGAGCACGACGCCAATGCCGTATTGGCTGGCATCCGTAGTGACTATGAACGGTTTGTCAGGATCAGGAAGGTTTAAGACTTCATGGTGAGTTAATGCGTGCTTCAGATGTCTGAAAGCAGCCTCACACTTATCTGTCCACTCCCATGGGGTGTCAAGGCGCGTCAGATCAGTCAAAGGAGCGGCCACTATGCTATAGTTCTTCATGAAAGTTCTATAGTCGCCTGTCATTCCTAAGAAAGATCTCATCCCAGTCACATACTGAGGATGTGGCCGATCACGAATGCTGGCCGCCTTCGCGTCATCGGGCTTCAACCCTTCCGTGGAGATCTCATGACCCAAGTACAAGACACGGGTGCGGCCAAACTCACACTTCTCACCGTTGATCTTGAACTTGTGTTGTCGCAGGAGGCCGAGGACTTTGTCCAAGTGTGCAACATGTTCCTCGACAGTCTTACTAAAAATAAGTATGTCATCGAGGTACACGATGACAAACTTATCCAAGTAGTCATGGAATATCCGATTCATAGTGTGCTGAAAGGTGCCAGGAGCATTGCAAAGGCCAAAAGGCATCACCACAAACTCGTACGGACCGTACCTGGTCTGAAAAGCGGTTTTGTGTTGATCCTCGGGCCGAATTGCAATCTGATGGTACCCGGACTTCAGATCTATCTTGCTGAAGTACCGACATCCTTGCACTCTATCTAGCAAATCGTCGATGCCCTGTAGGGGCTCTCTGTTCTTCACAGTGATGGCATTGAGGCCCCTATAGTCAATGCAAATCCTGAGAGTGCCCTCCTTCTTCTTAGGTACGAATAGTACTAGAGATCCGTAAGGAGAGACACTCGGCCGGATCCAACCCTTCTCTACGAGTTCCTTGAGTTGGCGGCGAAGCTCATCAAGCTCGCCTGGAGACATCCTATAGATCCTACCCTTCCGAATACTAGACCCTGGGATAATCTCTATCGCGTGGACGACCTCCCTATCAACAACCCCTGTTGGCTCTTCAAATAGATCAGGGTACTTGGCAACTACGCCCTCTATCTCCGGCGGCATTTTCACCGGCTCGCCTACAGCAGAGACATAAACTAAGCACATACCCTCCTCCTGATTTTGCTTATAATAATTGTAGAACGCGGCCGCACACATGCACCCGTAGGACTCAATCAGACTACTAGCTTTGAACTTATGTAATCTGGCGGTCCCTCCACCTGGCAGAGTGTGTTTGACCACTTTTCGGTCCGAGTCAAACTGGGGCTGTGCCACAAAGAGGTAGTACATACCTAACAACATGTCCATGGGGAGTTCATCGCTCACTAGGAACGAGACACGATGCCTCAAGTCCCCTCCCGCGTACGGGAAACAACACTCTACATCCTGGAGGAAGTCGTTAACTACCATGCGCTATTTGTTGGCACAGGTTGACTCCACAGGTCGACTCAGGCGCTGCGCTCGCCCCTGTAAGCGCAGTCTCTCAACGCACACGCGACTAATAAAGTTCCGTGTCGAGCAAGTGTCATAATAGGCCCCGGCCTTGCGGCCGCCAATAACAACCTCGCTGACGAACATCTCACCCTTAGGAGCTTTGACTAAGGCCGTCCAAGAAGCTAGCGGGTCTAATCTAGACCACTCTACCTCTAGCTCGAACAGAGGGTCGATGGGTCTGCATGTGCTTGCGGGACGACTGAAGAGTCAGTAGCTTGGGCCATCTCTCGCGAAGGTGAGGGTGTATCCACCACCGCGACCCTAGTAGGAACAGCTACTATTCCTACTGGCCCGACGTGTTTCCCGGAGCAGTGCTTGAAGAACTGGCAACGTTGCTACCAACGGGAGTGGAGGATCCTACCGCCGGCCCCATCGTAGGCGGGATTTTCTCGGTGACCTTCCTGTTCCGACACTTGTACATGCTATGGCCATACTGACCACACTTGATACAAGCTTGCCGGGCCCACCGATCTCTCCACACGTCCTCTGATAGACCCGCTTTCTCCCATGGAGGAGCGTTGGGGTCTGTTTGACTCTTCGACCGGGATCCCCTAGGGCGTCGMCCGGTCCCTTTACCTTTTTGCGCTACGGCAGCGACCACTCCACCCTCTGAAGCGTCTAAGCTGCCTGCCTCTGAACCTACTCCCTCCTGGAGGTTGCCGTCCAACTCGATGGTTGAACCATCGTTGTCGACAAACATGAAGCGACCCTTCGCCTTCCAGTTAGGAGGCAGTGTCTTCTTTCTCCCTTCCGTAGTGGGTGCCTGTCCATGCCCTATCTTCGCTTCCAGGTCTAGGGCCACCTTGCTAAACGAAGGAAAGTTGTGCATATTGATGTTGGCCTCTTTTGCCAATTGGTTCCTGAGAGGCTGTGAAAAACATCTCAGGTACGAAGTCAACAGGACCTGAGGATCATAGCGTACCCTAGGGACACAGATCAAACGCTCAACTGCGTCGGTGGCTTCCCTTACTGACTTAAACTGCCGCGTGTGCAGTGTCAGGATCGCGTCAGTGGCCCTTTGAGCCTCCTGAGGATCATGCCACCTTTCTTCCACCATCTTCAGGAAGTCCTCCAATTTCTGGGAGGCCGCCCAAACGCGGAAGTCATGACCGTATCCCTGAAGTTGTACTAAACCACTCAACCATCTCGCTGCACTACCCTCGAGGTAGGAGGCAGCCACAAACACTTCTTCATGCGGCAAGGTGAGTTTGCACCTGACGTAGACCGGCACTGCCCTCAACCATGTGTCGAGGTCCTCGCCTCTCTTGTCCCTTGTAAAAGGTTTAGGAGCGGCGATGGCCGTCTTCGGAACCCACTGTGTTTGTCCCGGTCCCTGGATCATTCCAGGCTGTGGACCCGGTGAAACAGGTTGCTGTGCTAGCTGCTGGGGTTGTGTGCCCTGAGGCTGCACTGACTGCGAGACAGCAGGCTGCGTGGTGACTACAAACTGTGACGGACTTGGAGTAAACACTATCTGTACAGGAACCTGTAAACTACTCCCTGCTGTTACCCCTCCTGACAGCGGCATGCCCAGGGAAACGATAGCAACCGTTGATGGGCTACATACGAGGATACCCCAGTCACCGGTGGGACAGAGAAGGAAGGATATGGCACGGGCCAGGCACCAGGCCCGGCTGGTGATGGTGTTGCCTGAGCATGGCCTGACAGAACGGCCAGTCTCTGTTGAATGTCCTGAAGGATGGTAGTTTGGTGCTCCTGCATTTCTATAATTCCTAGCAGGGCCTTTCTAACTACCCTCACATCATCATCCATATGCGCCAGGTCCATCATTTCTAACTCCTCTATATCTGCCTCTCTTCGCTGCATCCTGGCTCTTCTTCTGATCATCTTTTCTTTTTCCGCTTTTATCTCCCCTAATGCCCTTTGTAGCTGTGCCTCATGCAGGGCTGCCTGCTGGATGGCGACATCCTCTGGAGTCAACACCGCGGCCTGGCTTGCCATAATGCCAGGGGACTGACTCACGGTCTGCGCGACCGTTGACCCAACAGCACCTGAACTACTGGCTTGGGAAGTCTGCTGCGCAGAAGTGGACATGGTTGTAGTAGCCATGGCTGTTGTAGCACCAGCCTCACTAATTAAAGTCTGGCTGGCCTCGGCTGCTCTGGCCCTCCTCTGTGCCCGCTCTGTCTCCCTCTGCTGGCGGAACAGATGTCGATCACCCTCCAGTCCTAAAGACACGTGGGCTACCGGGCCCCTCGCTGATCGCAAGATCCTGCAGTCGTCCTCTCCGGTGTTCTCCTCGTCGCTCATAGGATACATCGCTGTGCACTGTAAACATTCAAGATGTCTACCATAGCATAGTACATGGACCAACTAATTAATTGGTGGCTATTTCGGAGTAGATATCACTTGAGGTCAACAGGTAAGTCAGATTCCTTCAACTGAAACTATTTTTAGTATGACTAGTCCACGAACAGAAACATCAGGAACAATCAACAGTTCTAACTAATGTTGTCTGTCAGATGTCAATGGCAGTCCATCTAACTTATCAAAACATAAAAATAAAATCACTTGTGTGTATAGGACAACATGGAATTTTCTCGAACTTGTCACCTGGAATCAACCCCTCCCTCCAATCTACACTTGAGTATCTCTTGCCGTCAGCGTCCTGAGCAATCGGGTAGCATGCGCGACTGAAGGTGTGCAATCCGGTCCCACCCCTGTGCCCCAGGTTATCGTCGAGCAAGGCAGCCACAACAGTCTTATTTATCCTCGTACGCCGACGAGCCTTACACCCGGTTGATCTGGCTGATCAAGAGGCAATTTAACGTCCGCCCCCAAGTGACATCAGGAATTATTTTACGTCGCAACAGGACGACGATCACAGCCAGATCAGAGGCGAGTCCCCAACCAGAAATGTTTATAGACGGTCTGGTAAGCGTCTCAAGAGGCTGCCACACCCGAGTTAACCTCTATCTGCGCAAGCAGCAGAACCAAAGACTTGCAGCGAAGCATGCGTGTACTACACCTAGTGGGCTGGCATGGTGACTGTGACCAGTGCTTCGTCCAGGGCCCTTCAGAAAGCAACGCCCTCTTCCCCCTGATGCTCCACAGGAAGTATGCCGACTCTCAAGGTTGAGTGCACTCGACACCTCACGATGAGAGGACTCTCAAGTTAGATCACACAACCTCACGATAAGAAGTGTTGGAGAGGGTAGATAAGGTTGGAAGTAACGTACCTCAATATTGCTGCCCCCGACCACAGAGATAATCTCACCAGATGACCCAATGGCAATTGCGATGACCAGTCACTGCATCGGCACAACCAGCATTATCCGCCGTTCCACCTCAGCATCAATCGCACATTAGGTAGTTCTCATCACACTGTCCAGACCACATTCACCTTACGTAGCCTTCCTGGCGATTCCCCTCACCTCCTGGGTCGCCACACACTCGTCTCCACCCTCCTCACTACACACCACTTTACGGCCAAACTCGCCCAGCAGACCGCATGTATGTACCGCATAAGGCAGAAGACAAGCGCCAAATGAGCGCAATCGTACCACAGCTCCGATACCAAATTGCAAGGAAGATGAGTGATAGTGAATTCCAACAATCAAACAGCATCATACATATGAGCCTAGATAGTCTTGACCCGGAACCAAACGCAGAATTGCATCACGAGATACACCAAATAAGAACACACCAAGAGTTCATCATTGACAATGCTGAAGTAG